TGCTAGACTTAGTTATTGGGAAAATTCTATATAATTATTGTATATAGTTTCAAGAATCTTAATAAAGTACTAGCATGGCTGCTTAAGAGCAAAAAAAAAAAAAAAATTATCATAACCTAAATCTACTTGTTAGCACTATATTTAATATGATCTTTGACAATATTAAAATACTTATAAATAAACTATATCTTTTCTTATAAACTTATTCAATAATCTTCTATTCTGGTTCTTTAATAAAATTTAGTTCTCTTAAAACATTGCACAACATTAATAGGAACCTGCCTAAAATATTATTTTTAAAAGCAAACATACTAAACTCTTTTATTTACTATAACTCTACAACCTAATACAAATCTAACTACAATTCTGACTAGTAACAATTTATCTATCATTGAAAAATAGCTTCTCTAAGGTTACATACTAACTTTTTGCTTTATATAATAATAGGACAAACATCTTAGATTTCTTTCAACCTATTGTTATATAGTTCTAGAATGACTCTTGTACTTGGTAAAGAGAATGTTGATTGACAACAGCTTGTATAGTGCAGTAAAAAAGAAGAATAGTACTCAAGAGTATGCTTTGATAAAATCACATGACCATATGGATAAGTGATATTATAATCGGGGCATCAGTATTGGTCAATATTAACAGATCAGGTATTATGTGGACTTTGAATAATATATGATTATTGATTATAGTAATTATGACAGAATTAATTAAAAGTTTATTATAGTATATAATTAATAGATTATAGTAGTATAAGCAAATAAGATAATAAGTAAAGTGGATAAGTTGTCAACCTCCAAGTGGCAGGTTTAGAGTTCAAATCCTAGTAATAGTAAAAATTTGCAATTTTTTCTGTGTTATGGCTTACTGTCTTCAGTGATTGGTTGAGATAAAATACTTGTAACCTGTGTTATATCAGTATGACTGGAAGGTCTAGGCACTTGTACAATATTGTACAAAAGAACACAAACCAATATCAGGCAGTGTGAACCCAAGATAAGTTCTTAGACCATATAAATCACAGAAACCAGATAGGAAAATGAAAGCCTACTTGAAAGACCTGAGTAAAGAAATAACCCAAATCTTTGATAGTGCTACTATAAAGACTAGACTTATAAAATGAAGCTCAAACTTGTAAAACTAGGCAAATATGTCAGTCTTTAAGGAAGGACTGGATGAACCAAACAGGCTGTCAGAATTTCCAGGTTTTAGAAGAAAAGGATATATGCTAGCAAATATGTAAATCAAAAGTATGATCTCGTTCTATCTTTCTGGACTATCTGAAATGACAGCTTGGTGGAACTTGAATTAAATACCAAAGTAGTAAGAATATATTGTGAAGTCAGTACTGAGGTTGGGGTAAACTCTAAAGAGCATAGTAGTTTAATGATACATCCTAACTGCCAATGTTGGTCTTGGCTATAGTGATTTCAAGTTAGCTGTGAAAATAGAATACAGAAGATTTTGGAATGTTTAGTACAAGGTCAAAGGTTCTCTATATGAGTAAACTGCTTTAAAGACTTAGTGGCTATAGTATATTTTCACTGGCATCAGCCAGAGTTATTGGTAGGCAGAGGTAGATAGATGGATATAAAAACAAAATGGTTAAATAAGAAACCTACAAGTGGGTTCTAGGTATGGCAGCTAGTGTAGAACCTTCAAGTGGACTACTTAAATTAGACAATGACTAAAGTTGTATAAATGGCTAGTTGTATACTCTTTCTATAGTTGCTTCCTGTAGTTATAATGCAACTGTTAGCCAAATATACTATCAATAAAATCCTGGGTCACAAATACTTATCTTAATATTTAAAAAAAAAAAAAAGTGAATAAAATAATAAAAGTTTGTAGTACAATATAATGTATTTTATGATTTAATATAAATAAAGATTGTAAATAAAAAGAAAGTGTGATTAGTCTTTGGGCTAGTATGAATAAGAAACAGTATATTTAGTGTAAAGTGTTTGCTTGCCAAGTGATAAAGTATGTAATAAAAGTGCTAAGCAAGACCTGTCAGTTTCTAAACCTATTTGACTAAATAATACTAGCCATAGCTACTATTTAATCCTGCAATAGAGAAGGATCTGAACACAGAAGGTATCTCTTGCAACAAAAAAAATAAAAAAATAAAAAATAATAACAAGTACTTATAAACAAGCATTTCTGTAATATAAGGTACAAGTTTAAAAAGAGTGTCAATGATAGTTAACAAAATAGCTAAACAAACAACATGATAGTAGAGATTGAACAAACAACAAAATCAGGTTATTAGTAAGGTTACGATCACATACATATCAAGTACCAAACAAGAAAATAAACACAAACCTTACACAAAAGTGATTGATTATGATAACACAAGATCTAATAAAGCTATTTTATTATAGTTATAAAAATGAAGATATGAAGGACTTTCTCTTCAATTTTGAAATATATGTGAAGTCAAAGCAGTATAATGATGATTGTAAAAAAAAGGTCATAGGATTACATGTTTCTGATAAAGTAAAGGTTTGGGTGCATAAATTAATGAAAGCTGCATCTACTTGAAAAGACCTAAAGACTGGAATAGTGAAGGTAATAAAAACCAAATACTATGCTAAAGAAAAGATTGTAAGGTTGATAAGAGTTAAACAAGAAGAAAATAAATCAATAACCAGATATACTGATAGGTTTGAAACCTTAGCTAAGATTCTGAAAAATAATGTGTAAGAATGTAAAAAACATAAATAGTACATAGCTGGATTGAGAGATAAGTACAAAGTCAAGATTAAAATGTATTTTCTGACTAATTTTAATGAAACAAAGAAATTGGCTCTGAAGATAGAAATATATAGTAAAGACAATGAATATGATACTTAAAGAGCAATTAAAGTATTGATAAAAGAGTCAAATATGGAAAATAAGTTTGATGTAGATGATCTAACTGTGGCAATAGAAAGTTTAAAAATATATAGAGTTGAGAAAAGCCCTAAAAATAACATTTAAGAAATAAAGAATGCTATAAAAGAGCTCACATTGATGATAAAAGAACTTGCTATTAAGAATATCCTACAATAGCAATATAATCAAAGTATAGCACCTCTACATTGCTTTACATGCTAAAAGAATAAACATATATCATGTAATTGCTCAGATAAGATCTCAAGAAATTGGCTTGTATACAAACCTGAAAATCAGTAGAGTAAGGATAAAGAGTCAAAAGATAGCAATATGAACAACCAAGAACCTAACATCTGACTTGTAGATATTACTAATAATGTATTAGATAATGATGGAGAATACTTAATAGTTGAATTAGTTAAAAAGAATCTGACTTAGCTGATATAAGGAATTTGGGCAAAAGAAAAAAGGACAAGTTAGTTTTGTAAAAAAAACTAATAAAAGAGAAAAACTATATAAAATAATAGAGATACATCTTATAAAATTGTCTTTTACTCATAAGGAAGATAATGATAATTTGATTATGTATATATCTTTGACCAACTTGGCTAAAGATCTTGATATTTTAAAAACTATTGCCGATTTAAAATTTAATATATACTTGAACAACTATTTAAATAATCACTAAAGACTAGAAGTAAGATTATGAAAGCTTTATCACAGAAAAGAAGGAATATTAATATAATAAATGTTGATATTCAATTGTAGTTTATAAAAAGAAGCAGTATTCTAGATAGTGCAAATGAAATAGTACTTACTTGGTCAGTACTAATAAATGGAGAAGTTGTAAATGTACTAATTGACTCTTGAATTTAATACATATGAACTATGCAAAGAAGTGAGGATTAATGTGGCAATAAGCATATAGAAAAAAAAGAATGGCTAATAATAGATTAAGTGAATTTGTGGGATATAAATCTCAAGTAAAGTTGAATTGAAAGGTGTAGTAACAAGTCAAAATTTCTATATAATAGAATCAGCAAGCTTTAATATCCTATTGAAAATGCTATAACTAGCTAGTGCTCATTGTAATCTTTATTAAAAAAAAAATGAATATTGGTGTACTGTTTCATCATCAAATAGAGAATTATCATTTCTTGTTTTAGTTATACTGAAGAGTTAGATAGAAACAAATAAAAATAAGAAATTGGATGAATATAATGATGCTGAGGATGAAATTAATCATGTTACTGCAGTGCAGAGGTTTTAGATTATAGAAAACAAAGTCCAGATCTTGAAAAAGCATAATGAACAAATGGAATCTCAATTCAGTTAAAATAAGCTATATGATTTGTGAACTCATAAAATTAAAGGTTAATTAAAAATTCAGAGTCCCATAGTGTTGCAAAGATTAATAATGAAGAATGTAACTTTGCTAAATTTTGGACCAAATCTTTTATTAGAAGAAAGGCAATATATTTTAGGCTGGTTAGTAGAGGAAGTATCAAAAGTATTTGCTTTCAATTTGTCTAAATTAAATTAAACTGATCTTGTAAAATACAAGGTAAGGACTAAAGATGCAAAAATACTACTTATAAGACTCAGATCCATCTAAATAGATAATCCAGAAAAGGCAAGATTATTTGAAGAACATTTAAAGGATATAATTCGATATGGTTTACTAGAGAAAAGTAAAGGACCATATGCATATTATTGTTTTCTAGTAAATAAAAAGGAAGAAAAGACAGATTGATTATATGCTGTAAGCAATATAAAGCTACTAAATAAGCATATAATCAAGAACAGTTACCTTCTTCCAATTATTAGAGATATTTTAGAGAAAGCAGCTAAGCATGACTGATATTCAAGCATAGATGTATTTAAAAGTTATTGGCAAATCTGTATATGTGAAGAAAACAGAAATAAGATAGCTGTTTTAATGATGTTAAGAGTATTGCAATATACTGTAATGTAAAGAATGCCAGTGAGACCTTTCAGAGATTGATGAATTTAGTTTTAAAGGATAAAAAATGGAAAATATTGACTGTTGCATATCAAGATAACATTGGGTTGTAGATGAATAGTGATTTAAAAGAACACATTGATGTATTTGTTAGGTTGGCAAAAATATTTGAAAAGGCTGAATTAATCTTTGCTACTAAAAAATGTTTTATTGTATTTAAAAAACTTAATATATATGGTTTTGTCATAGCTAAAAAAGGAATAAGGATTGACACAAAGGTATAAAAAAAATCCAAGAATGGACAGAGTCAAAGAACTCAGATAAAGTTAGATTATTTTATGAAATAGTAGGATATTATCATCAGTTCATAAAAAACTTTAGTAAAATTGTAAGTCTATTAACTGATTTAATAAAGAAAGATGGTAAATTTTACTAAAAAGCTGAACAGCAAAAATTATTCAAAAAGCTAAAAAGGTTGTTGCTAGAAGATGTAGTATTGAAAAGATCTGATTAAGAAGAAGCAAAAAGAAAAACAAGGCTATATCACTTGTTCATAAATGCATGTAACAAGTCAATTAAGATGTCTTGAAACAAGACAATAGTAAAGAGAATTTAAGGCCAATCATGTTTGAATCCAGAAAGTTAAACAAGCATAAAATAAACTATATAATTACAGAAAAAGAATGTTTAGCAATTATATTTGAATATAACTCCAATGAGCAGTATGTTGGAAGCACAAAATTTAAAATATAGGTCAACCACTAGGCTCTTGAATAGTTGTTCAAAAAAGCAGAATTGAAAGCAAGATTAATGCATTAGATTTTAGTACTACAGGTCTTTGAATTTGAGGTTTGCTATAAGAGTAGTAAAAGGCATAGCAACCCAGATGGAATATCAAAATATTCAATAAAGAATATAAATAAGAATAGAACTGATAAGCATTTTGTAGATAGATTGATTATGCATATAGGTGTATTTGACAATAGTGTTATAGATTTGAAGTGGATTCAAAGATATTTGACAAATTTCAGATAGAACAGAGAGATAAAAACTGCTAATTTATCTTGATTGTGATGAAAACTAAAATGTTACTGCATTATTAGAAAACATCTGTATAAGAGATTAAAGAATAGTATTCCATTTAAATATATTATTTTTGACAATGACAAAAAATACAAAATAATTGTGGCAAATTACCATGGAACAGCCAATGAGAAGGGTCATAAAGGCTTTATTGAAACTGCAAAAAAAATATTAATAAACTATAGTTGGACCTCTAGGAATGTATATAGCGAGATTGAGAATTTTGTAAAATTGTGTATTGAATATCAAAAATATGCATTAAAATTAGTAAAGGAACTGATTCATATGACTGCTACAAGTTAGATTTTTCATAAACACTACATTGACTATATAGGACTATTGTCTTGAATGAGTGATAGTTATGAGCACATGGTTTTAGTAATTGAAGAACTAACAGAATATGTAGAAAGAAAGATATTGCAAAAAAAAATATGCAAACAATAGCTTAATTCATATAGAATAAAGTTATTACAAGATATGAGTGTTTCACTGTTTTAGTTTTAGACAGAGGCACAAAGTTTAAAAATAATATTTAATGGAATTAGTAATATAACTAAACATTAATCAAAGATTTGTTACTAGTTATTACTCTGAAGCTAATAGCCATGCTAAATGCACAGTACAGAAATTCATAAGAATTATTTGAAAGGTGTGTGGCAAAAAACAAAATAGATATTAATAATTTGGGGTACTCTTCATTCTGTTTAGTCTATGGATGTAATGCCATAATGCTGATTTAGTTGATGTTGAAAAGTTATCAAATTTATATCACAAGAAATAAATGAACAACTGACAATTTGTTGGAATACTGAACAAACCAAATAAAAAGAATGATAGAAGATTTGAAATATGCACAAAGTATAAAGAATGTTATTAGACAATGATGAAAAGAGATACATGATAGGAAGTCAAAGTTAAAGAAGACTTACCAGATAGAGGACTTAGTCTTAGTTTATAATTCCACACTGGATATATTATTATAAAAATTAGATTATTAATGAATAGGACTATACAAAGTATAGAATAAGAAAGTATAAGTAGGTATATTTTAGCAAGTTGGTTGATAGCGAATTAAAAGATCTAATAACAAGAAATAGGTTAAAAAAACTGTTTATCTAGAAAAAGAAGGTTTCAAGTCAGAATAGTGATTCAGACCAGAATGGTATAGGCCTCGAGGATGAGGACCAATTGGAGTCTAGCTCATGTTACATAGTTCCAGAACAACCTTTGTACTTAATAAGAAGAATATTAATTGACAATGGCTTGTATAGTGCAATAAAAGAGAAAGATGGTACTTAAGAGTATGCTTTGACAGAATTACATAACCACATGGTTGAGTGATGTTATAATCAGGGCATTGGTGTTGGTCAATGTTGATGAATCAGATACCATATAGACTTTGAGTAATGTATGATTATTGATTATAGTAATTATAACAAAATTAATTAAAAATTTATTATAATATATGAATAATAGTTTATAGTAGTATAAGCGAATAAGATAATAAAAGTATGTAGTACAATATGATGTATTTTATGATTTAATATAAATAAAGTCATAAATAAAAAGAAAAAGAAATTAGTCTTTGGGCTAGTATAAATAAGAAACAGTATATTTAGTA